CCCCCCTTGCCCTCCCCGTTGATGACAACAACGCCGCCATCCATGGTGTTTGTCTCTTTATCCGCTACGACTCCGACGCGCAGAGCACGCATGTCCTTCATGAGGCTTTCGATCACGTCCCAGCGGCCCCACTTTGAGGCAGCGCGAAGGGTGTAGAGGTAGCACTTCTGCTCTCGCCAAAAAAGGGGGGGAAGCGGGGGGGCGATGCGTGTTCGTCGTGGCAGAAGAGTGGGGAAACTGGGGCGAGGGGGCACTCATTTGCCGAACGCATGTATTGCTTGTCGCAGTCGCCACATAACTTACAGCGCGTCGGCGACAATTTTCAGGCGCGTTTACATTCCAACATACATGACACGTACGTGAGCAAGTCTTTCTTGCCTACTGCTTCATTTACATTGTACCACCTTCGTAAGGCGTTCCGTGGCCACAACTTGATCCTGGCGTGTAAGTGGAGGGGCTTCAGGGACAAAAGAGTCGTGCTCGGTTGCGTGCTTACATCGTTGTAGGCTTTGCATGGCCTTCAACGAACAAGGAAGCCGAGGAATACAACAAGCACGCACAATCTTGTTTTGACACAGCTAACCGACTAGCGAGAATCACTGCCATCGCCGTGTTAACCACCAGAAGTGGCGGAAGGCTTAGAAGCGGAACAGCATCGACGAGGGAAGAGGGGACGATCCCGGCGTGGCAGTCCACAAGACTCACCTTGCTCGGTGTGCCTCCCGCGGCACGCATCTGCTGCACGAGGCGCATTGCGACCTCGAATTGACCGGCCTCTGACACCGCGCTCAGCACCTGCGTCAGACAACAAACACCAGCAACGAGAAAATAAAAAACGAACGAGCGCAGCAAATAATAGCTGTTCGAATGACATGCGCCCTTCCGGTAGCATATGCTGTGACAAGAGTGCCTTGAGATTTTCTTCGATCGTTTGCGCGTGTGTTCATGCTCGCGGGCTAACGTCTGGCGATGTTATTGTTGTTCAACCACAAGTGATTAGCCTTCGCGCAACTACAATCGTAGCGACGGGCAAGAGCCCTTGCTCCACTTCCGCCTGGGTATCTACTGCTCACACGACACCGCAAATCAACCCATAACAAAAAAGCGGTTCAGGATGAACCGACAATGCTGGCTCGTTGTGCCGAAGAGACCCAGCCCTCGTGTGAGGCCGAGAGAGGAGTTTCTGCCGTGATCTGAAAAATATATCGTGCATAGTTACGTATGGAAGCTACAAAGGCTGGCATACTTCTTGAGCAGAACATAAAGAGCACTGGCAACAAGGGATGTCAAGGATCCTGCATATGTAGAGCAAGGGTGAAATACACGAGAATCCGATGTCGAATCGTTGTTATAGCAGCCTGTGAAGGGGGGTTGGGAGGCACCACCCCTGCGAGCAACAGTCGAAGCCGTTGTCTCACCACTTCAAGGGTTTTCATGTGCGTCCTTGCCGCTTGCTTCTTGGCCTTCGCCACGGCCTCCACTTTCTTCCGCTTCAACGGCTTCCCACCTGCAGGACGACATGGTGAGTGGAGACAATAACAGCAGCAACAATATCAACTATTAGCAACGGCAATAACCACAACAGAAACAGCAACAACAACACCAACACCAACATTCAACAATTATAATAACAACAACAATAATCACGAACATAGAGTGGGCGCTGGAAGCACTAACAGCAACAGCAACCTGCGTGCATTCGACAGCCCCGTCGACGCTCTTTTTCGGCACGTTCTTTGGCGGAAAATTCTTCGAAACACTTCCTCAGCCAAGTTCACTAACCGTTTTTCTCGTCCATCTCTTTTTCCTCCCGCACGTCCAACGCTCGCCGCTCCACCATGAGAGACAGCGCGCGCTCCCACTGCCCCCCCTTCGCGCAAGCCTTCACCGCTAGCAGATACATCGGTGCTTTGAGAGGCCAACAGCACGTGGCAGGGCAAGCAGCAAGAGATGTAGACGTGGTGCGGGTAGGGATAGAGGGGCGTGGTGGTCGAACCGGTGTGTGGAAAACTCCGGTGTAAACGCCATGGTCGATATGCATACAACAGGACAGCGATTATCCCGGTGTCTCGTGCCTCACTCATTTCTGACCGTCGCTCGATAGAAATCATGTCAAGATAACATTACAGTCATGAGAGGACCACAACCCACGGTAGACCACACATTACCGCTGATTGGCAGGGGAAACGGCACCTGCGGGGTTCCAAACACAGCCCGTCACCAGCGGCTGACCCCGCACAGCACCTAGCGACCACAACTCATTGACATGAGACTACACAATTGAAAAAGAACATTGCCCCCTATCTGGCCACGTGCTCAAAGTTCTAACAACTCAGGCATGTAAAACATGAGCACGCACCCCCCCATCTCCTACAGCCACAGGCTGTATGGGGCGGCGAGTGCCAATGGCCTGAAGCTATGGTTTCGTACGAACACGTGCCCCCTCCCAACCGCGCGGCTCTTCCTGCCGTGCAAGCACTCTCACCAGACGGGCGGCGCTTGGCGACGCGCATGTCCTCCATCAGGATCATCGCGCGGCGCCAGTCTCCATACGCGTCGCAGAACTGAAGGCCGGCCCGATGCCCGTGTGGTAGCAAAGGCGCGCGCGCGTCCACTAGTCTGGCCATAACCTGCTGGGGACATCGTGGGGTGGGTGTGTGTGGGGGGGCGCGGCAGCGACCAGGAGCGGTTGTTGGCCTCTTCAAGTAACGCAGCAAACCTTCCGATCCCATCGGCTGATTGTCCCGGAATGAGATAATTGGACGATCGCACCGGGGTGCGAAGCGCATCAAGTATTCTTCGGGTAGCATTAGAGGAACACATGCACGGGACCGTGAACAAGACTCTGCGCGCCAGACCCCCAAAAAACCCACCAGGGCAGCCACAACATCATGTGCAGCTGGTAACCTTAACCTTGCCTGGAAGCCATCGAAAGTCTTGCGTCGCCGAGCCAAGCAGATGAGCAAGGTCGTAAAGGTGTAGCTGTTCGGCTCCACGCCCGCCTGTTCCATCTCGTGCACGACCTGAGGGTTGGAGAGGGAACAGGTGCGGTTGAAATAGAGGGGAGTGGAGGGAGGACGGGGGGTAACATAGTTGCTCCGCTCTACGGCGGCAACAGACAGACGTCGACACCAGAATCACACAAGAGTACACACCACAGCGGTTTGAAGCTGATAGATGGACCCTAGGCTTCTGAACACAACAGGCCAAGAAATAGTAGTGGTGTGATCGGAGAGCAACCTGTGTTCGGGGTAGATGTTCCACGCGACTGCTGGAACAGATGAGAACGCACAAACAACGCCCCCGAAACAAGCAAGTGTTGTTGTGCTCGTCTTCATATATATTAACAACGCGTTCCAGTCTCCGCTCAGTACCTTTTAGTACCCGTTGCCGCTCCAACTGACACGGAGGCCCTGCCGTGGTCACAGGCCAACCACCCAAAAATGGTATGCAGACTAAACGGGAAACGTTTCAATAGACTGACGCGATAAAAATCTGTCCGGTTGGTATGGGACCGACAACCATCACCTCGATCATGTGCTTGCGGGGGGCAGCGCTCCCCATTCCCGCCGCCTCAACGAGCCCGTTGTAGGTCCGGACGTCGGGAGAAAGCCCCTCGGACACCATTCTCTTGAGCAGCTTTCGCGCACGCCTCCACTGCTTCTGGATGGCCATCCCCCTCATGGCGTTGTTGTACGAAGTCGTGTCCGGCTCTATGCCTTCCTCGCGTGCTTGCGTCATCAACTGCGTGGCATTAGTTTTAGCGTTACGCAGAACATATACAGCCGATGCGCAGCGGAGGGTGCGGCAAGGGCGAACAACAACAAGCATATAAGGGGTGCGCTACGGCTTCATACAAGGCGTTTCGATGCTCGCGCATAACTTTGGTATGGACAGTTTTGACAACTCGCACCGTGCACGAAAGTCTGGGTTGCACGCAATGAGCCTGGATACCGTAGAATATCATGCCGTGGCATCAAAGAAATGCAACTTTCGCGCAACTCGAAAGTAGTGCTGCTTCAACGAACCAATAGCAGGACGTGGCATTGAAGCATTGCTGCTTCAAGCTCTTGCACGGCAGTTCGCGGCCGTGCATATCAAACTCAGAGCACACCAGCAGTAGCAGCAGCAGCGGCAGCTACGTTGCCACAACAGAGGAGCCGCTCACGAGACACCGAGAGAGACACGGCCGACAAACCCACATGACGCCCGACCCCAAAACATCGACACAACCGACATTCAAACAGACGCCCAGGCAAACGAAATATATGGTTCGTTGTACCGTACATACGTAGCTCCGACCAACACGTCATCGCCCTTACGGACAATATGCGTACCACCACCCCCCCACCCACCTCCATTACCAATCGCCACTGGCCCGCCTCGGAGCACACCCACATGGCTGCGTTGTAGGACCCCAGGTCGGGGCGAACGCCGGGGTCCTCCTCGCGCCTCAGCATGTTCAGCACCCGGAGGGCGTCCTCGTACTTCCTGGGCGTACCGGCGTAGGCCGCTATCGCCGCGTTGTAGACGCCCGTGCTCAGCGGTATCCCGGCCTGCTTGGCCTTCATGACCAGGGGTAGGACCGCCCAGCCCACCCGCCCCTCCCGGATGTTCCTGAACCGCGTCTTAATGTCCCTCTGGTTGCCGATGGTCACCCACGACCGGACAGGGTCGTCTCCGATAGGGCCTCCCGAACGGAGCGCCAGCGAACGCGCCTCGGCCTCGGCCAGGTCGCGAGCCTTAGCGCTTGCCTGTACGCGGTCTAGCATGTCGGAGAGAGACTCCAGGTCATCGGTCCCTTCCAGCGCAGCGTCCCCGGACCCCGCTGCACTAAGCTTTCCGTTGGGCAACCGGCGCTGCTGTTTCGGTGATTTGGGAGGGATGGTATTGGGTCCGGTGGTGGTTGTTGTGGTGGAGTTGCGCCCTCGAGGGGTGTCTTCTTGGCCTCGAAGGTCGGCGAACAGACCGTCCAGCTTGATGCTGGAACGCACCTGTGGGGTGGACCCTGCGCGGAGCTCGCCCTGCAACTGGCTCACGACGTCCTGCAGCCTTGAGCTGACTGTCGAAGAGTCCTCCTCCTCCTCCTCCTCCCACTGCCCCGCCGGCGCTTCCTCCTTCTCGCCCAGTAGGCTTGTCTGCTTATCCCGCAGTTGCTGCCGCCGTTGTGCATGACTACAATCTCCAGAACTGTTGCGACTGCTGCTGTCCGTGCTTGCGACCTGTTTTCCACTCCCATGTCCCACAGAGTACAGCGCAGAAATACCCTGTGCCCATGGTCTCACCGTGGTAGATCTTCTTCTCCCAGCACAGCAGCAGCCGTAGCTGTGCAGCAGCCGTCCTGTACCTCCAACTGCAACCGGTATCGCTGCTGACGCTGCATGCGTGGCGCCGAATATCATTGACGTGCCTGATTGGCCTGTCGCGGCTGCCGCCGTCGTCTGGGCGTGAGACTGAGCGACGGTCGAGAGCGTTGACACAGGAGTAGCTATCCTGGATACAGAAAGCGCCAAGGCTGCTCCGTGTGCCAGCCGCATGACATGGGAAAACGTACGTGCGTTGTGTGTTCTACGTTTCGCTGGGGGGTAGCATGAAGGGGGCCGGCTTACCAAACTACAGCAAAAGCAAGGGGGGTAGGGGTGAACAGCCATGCAGCCCCCGGAACGGCGTCAGTCTAGACTCGTCATTTGTCCGGAATGCGAGGGCCCAGCAACAAGTCGGTCGCCGTTCTGGCGGTGACGGCCTCGACAGGGTCGCTTTGCTTGGGCTACTTTCTCGTACGTAGGTGTGTGAGACTGACATGGTGGTTCACTTACTCGTACTTTTCGTGCAGCAGAAGTTGCGCCGCATGCGGCGAGACTTCACAGCATGCAACCCGACGTCAGTGTCTGACAGCTGATAGGTCCCTCTACCTGCAAGCGACGTACCACTTCTAGTAGCTCTGCAATGCCCCCTGGTTTCATTTCGACTTTCGTACGGTGGAATCGTTATCGGTGTAACATGCTGTTCAAATCCCAGGCCATGAGCCATGTGCTGAAAACCAGACGGGTCCGCTGGTACAAGAACACCTCTCCCCCTCTTTGTGTGACTATAAAGACTTGATTCAACATATCTCACATTTCCTAAAAGCAAATCTTCGGATCTGCAGTAGTGTTTGTCAGCAAGCCGCACTGGTCGTCCTGTGCAAAAAGAGCACTCCTGGTGTGCGGTATGCTGTTTTGTTACCTGGTCCTCTCTCATCTCGTCTGACCGCTGTGGCCTTACCGGAGGCAAATACGCTAGCCTACGTTGTGAGCGGGAGTTCCAGGAGTGATTGCGTGCGGTGCCAAAGTCGCACCTCCTCGTACTTCGTTTACGAATTGCAGTTTTCCAAATTTCATTTTGTGTCGTCAACGAAACGTTACACCAGCAGCAGTAGACTCGCGCAAGCAGAATCCTCCACCCCCACGCCGATCCTCTGTCCGCGCGGGTTTGTTTCCTCGCCCAATACGCTTGGCACACGCAAGATTTCGGCGCAGGCTCAACCAGAGCAAGGCACTCCGCGCGGGGCGTGTCTCTCGCCCCGATGCGGCCAGCCTCGCCGTGGGCGACTATGTCCGAGTGAGGGGCACCGTGTCGGCTGGAGCACGCACCCTGGAGAGCCCGATGAAGCGCGTCCCCTGCGTCTCCTACCGCGTGAACGTGGTGAGGGTGGTGGACTCGAGGACAGCCAAGAAGAAGGTGTGACAGACCGGACCTTCCAGCCTGACGAACTTGTAGTCGGACGGCCTTGCAGCTGAGCGGCTTTGTAGACGGGCCGGGTAGGGCACTGCAAGAGGGCGACCCGTGTTTGTATATGTGGGTGTGTACTTTTCTTTCAGTTCTGAATCTTCGCACTTTCAGAACCGGTTCTGTGGAAACCGAGACAGCCGCTACGGAGCTCTGTTGTACGTGCCTCAACCTCGACAGCCTGCAGCGTGTGCATCTTTTGAATGTAGTTCTTCGTTCCGTTATGTACTGGCTGCTCGTGCTTGCTCACCTCCGGCATGCGACCCCGACCTTGCGACCTTGCCACGCCGTCCACCAAAAATTCCTCAAGGGCCGCACATGTAGTGGCACCAGGGTGCGGAAAACATAAACATTACGTAGTATTCACACCGTCCGCACACCAATCAAGGACCCACGTTATGAACCCAATACTCCTCCTCTACCATGTGAAGGGTGTTATTAACAGCGAGACAGCTCGAGAGTAGGGGTTTGATCCATACCACGAAGTGTCGTAGTATGCCGACCCCGTGTACCCGTCGTCGACCCAACCACACTTGTGTCGCACGCCTTGCTTGTGTTGCGTTCGTTCGGGGTCTTTACTGGCGAAGGCCTCGGTTGGGGGCATCTGGGGGGTGCTGGGAGGGATAGCCTCCGTCGTTCCTTGGCTCTGCTCCTTCGCGGCAACAGCCCAGGTGAGGTGCTAGGCACTGGACCGCACTGTTTGGGTGTGCGTGACGGGCCATGTTTTGATTGTGACCGAAGGCAATCTTCGTCTGCTCTTTGTGAGGGACTATGGCCGAATTGGGGTGGTTTTGGGGACTTCTTACCAGTGCGACCGGGTCCAAGCCACGCACAAATAGTGTCGTACGCGTTTGACACCGAATTGGGATATGTACAGCTTTTGAAGGTTACACGTCCTTGCGCTCCGGCCCAAACCACCGTAGCAATTGTGTCGCACGGTGCTACGACAGGGTAATGAGAACGGCAACTAGCTGGGGCGACGGTGTCATAGAAGGATGGGTTTGTTCACTCATATAGCACGTACTAGCTTGGATAAAACTATCCGGCATCGAAAGACCTGAACCACGTGATTCGGCTTCATCTTATCTGTATCGCTCTGTTCCGTCGTTGTTTTTCGCGCTCCAGGTCGACACCGAGAAGTGGGACACGGTGTACCAGGCTATCAGCAGCAGGGGGGAGACGGTGGAAATTTTCCTGGATGACCACGACTCTATTGCAGACCTGGAGGCGGTGGCGCACGCGGGGACAGGAAAGAGGCGTCCCCGGGTTCGGGTCGACCTCGCCGGAGCTGAGTTTTTTTCGATGGAGCAAGTTGCGTCGGAGTTCGAGGCAGAAAAGGCCACCGGAAAGGTTTCTTCGAGAACCCAGCTGGGGTACCGCACCACTGAGGAGGTGGGCGTGTTGATGTGTTCCCCTTCTCTTCGCTTGTGATTGTTTTATTGTTCGACACTGGACACCCCAAGCTATTGTCGTGCTTCAGCATTGGTCATGTACTGTATGACTTGTGTCCCTTACGCACATGTTACGTCTTTGGTCGGAGGGACGGGTGGAGTGGAAGGCAGTCGGGCGCCTTTGGTGCACGTAGCGGTGAAGAGATACGAGAGTGAGTGCGCCTCGAAAGTTACGCCGTCACACGTTACGTTCGTAGCAGTTGTCACGCCAAGCGGTGATGTTTTCGAGTCTTGTACCAGTCAACACACAAAAGCAAATACCACATTTCCTCAGTTTTTCTCTTTTATTTGTTCTCTTTTTGTGTGTCTTCTTGCTTGCTGGATAGAACAAAACCTCTCGGTCGTCGCACTCCCTCACTCCAACATTAGTCTGTCGACCAGTGTTTTGCTGGCACATATCTCGCTTCTAGCCTGCCGCAGCAACACACGGACCCCCCCCCTCCCCAATGCAGGTGCTTGCGGTCGGGTCGCGACTCATTGTGCTCGGCGAAGTGGGCGAAGACCCCGAGGGCGCCGAAGGCGACGTCGTGCTACGGAAGGCTGCACCCTCCAGCATCCTGGACCTGAAGACCACCTCCATCTCCAGGCCGTTCGTGGCTTCCATCAAGTCTGAGCAGGGTCTGCTGCAGGTGTGAGCTAAGTCCCTTTTCTTGTTGTCATAAGCATTGTGTAGCGCCGATTACGTGTTTCCAGGAATTGCTGTCTAAAAGAGCTATGTGGTCTTGGAGCCAACAGCCCAATCTTCCAGCAAGAAGATCCTGTACTTCCCGGGAGTACTATCCAACATTTTTTCGTTACCTTGACTTGGCCTCCTTTTTGTGGCTTCTTTGTTGTTGCGCTTCTAAATGTAGACGGGATGGGAGCACCTCATGTCTCGGGACGTGTTTCGTTCGCCACAAATCACGTCCCGTGTTGCGTCGGCGTTCCGGTTCGCTACAGCCACGACACGTCGTGCGCGCCGTTGTCCCGCATTCCTGCCGACGTTGCTCCCACTTCGTCACGTACGCCTGACGGAAATTGATGCTTCGGCACCGGCAGGAGATCGAACGGTCGGGGCGCATATACTTCTGGCTGGCGCTACCCTCCGTCGCAGTGGGGCTCGCCTTTGCCTACGTGGGGGTGCTGCGCGTGCTCGCCGCAATCGAAGACCGCTCTGCGGAGCGCCCGGCTTTGACGGAGAGCGGGCACAGTGCCCCGCCCGCTTCGAAGGGGCTGCAAGGGTGGAGAAGGGGTTGAGAGTAGGCCTTGCCGTGACATTTTCGTTATCGGTGCACGGGTGGCCGGGATCATGACGTTTGACAGTGCGGTGTGTAGGTGAAGTTCAGGAGACTGAATATTTCGTCTTTTTTCGCAGCGCGGGCACGAGATTGGTCACCGGTTGGAGCTGCCTCTGTTGTCGTACGCGTTTCAATTCATGGCCATGACCTTGGCGTTGATTGTTGTCCTCGCCTAGTTGCAACCCTCGCTCGACGTTCTTCGCACTGCTGTTAGGGCTGCAAGGTCGGGGGTCTTCCCAGCGTGTTCCCAATCTGTCCGGTGTCCAATGTCTACTAGCCGTCTCTATGGGTGTGACGTTCAAGGCGCGACGTGAGGGCGATGATCCCGACATGGAACGGCACGTTGGTCATGGTCACGGGATCGTGCGGCGTCGAGGATGTGTTGAGAGTCTTGCGGCCTTGCTGTCGACGCTAACCACGTCGACCCTCCAACCCCTTGGATTTTGTTTCCTTCGAAATGTCGTCTTTGTGCCAACGACGTATGGAGTGGAGTCAGCAATATATCCTTGCAGGCCGGAGGGAGAGAGAGAGAGAGAGAGGGAGAGAGAGAGAGAGAGAGAGAGAGAGAGAGAGAGAGAATGTTCAACGGCGTTGGTTCGGCCCTCGCCTCCCGCGGCAGAGCAAAGACAACGAAAGAACGAAATTTTTTGTCGGAAAGCGGTGGATATCCAGCCGTTGTTCACGGGCTGCTGTGTGCTGTTCACTTTTTTTTGAGGAAAGACCGAGGGGGAAAGCGGGAGAGGGCGATAGAGTAGGCGGATGGACGGTAATTCACGGCTGTGCGGGGATTCGTCTCGACATTCCGGGTGTATATCTGTAAATCCAAAACGACGTCGGCGTTCTCGTTCTCTTGCACAGTCCCGTCGACGATGCCAGTGCTTTTTCGCCGCGCACACAATACGCTGCTTTTTCATTTCTTGCAATGAGACGATTTAGATGGGACGATGAAGAAACTTCTCTGCTTCGAGGAAGCCGCTAACACCATGAACCCCTGTTTTACAACCTTCGTTGCATGCCTACGCTCCTCTGTGCGAAAACCAACATCAGATAGTTTTTGTGAAGGTTGCGTAATTCACCACACAGATGTACTGTATGTAGCATTGCATCTGTAGAATCAGTTACGGTAGCGGCTACGGTTCAAGGGAAAATGTTACAAAGTACGGTTTTAAGAGAGCGAAATTGGCTTGTCCCGACCAACTGGGTTGAAGAGAAAATTTCTCATTCCTCGTCAACCGGATTTAAGAGAGATTTTCTCATCTCTTGAGACTTTCTGAAATCGAACATCTGGAAACCACGTGGACATGACACAACAGACATTACATACTCAGCCGCAGACACCATGCCCTGCGCAGCGGGCAGTCGATACACAGCTGTCCCTCACAACACGCCAGGGGCTTAAAATGGATGGGATTGGGGCTGGTGTTGGTTAGAATGTGCAGGGGATGGACGGGGTAGGAGTGATTCAGCGTGTGAGTGAGAGCATTTTTTCTTGGGTACGTGGTGGTGGTGCATCCATCTAGGCTCGTGTATCCATCTAGGCTCGCTCGTGTTGTCCTTCTGGAAGAGGTGCGAGCAAGAAACACAGCTATTTACAACTCATAACTACAGAGCTCATAAACGCGCAAAAAGAGTCTTTGGACTATATGTGTACTTGTTTTTCCTAATATATGTATCTCACGACACCATGATTTATTTTCTCAACACATGTACCAAGAGCGTACCGCGCACTTGCGGTATAATAGACGATGTTCGCCACCATCAGCATGAGCGGTGTTTGGGGCTAGCCGATGGTGCTGACGGCGCCTGAAGCGTTACGTGACATGAATGATACACGCTCTCCTCAACCTCTTACGTCATATCATTGGGATGAGGAGCGTCAATCTTTGACGACATTTCGATTTTGTTAGGGTTTAAGAGAATAGTATCTCATAATAATATCGACATTCGTTTTGTTAAGAGAGTATTCTCATACTTGGAGTAAACCGTGGCAAAGACGGTATTGTAGACAAAGCCGGATCTAAAAGAGGGAAATTGGCTTGTCCCGACCCTCTCGTACATTTTCTTTTTTTTCTCCCATCATTTGCCTCTGTCGTCTGCCCCTCTGCCCCCTATCCTCCCTCCACTTCTACTATACTAGCTAGACGACCCAACCGGGGTCACGTAGGAGGGGGGGTTTGGACCACCTCCTGCGGTTCCTGCCTGAGGTATGTTTATCGCGAGAAGGGTACAGCGATCTCTTCCCTCGCGAATGATGAAGTCGATCAAGTTTACTGACAACGCGCTCTGCAGCGCGTCGCTCCCAACTGAGACTAGGATTTAATTGGTGAGAAAAACTCAATCTGGCGGGACTCGAACGCATGACCTGGCCCCAAGCAGGCTGCGAAGTTACCTACATTAGACCACCGGGGCGACCGGCACTGCTGTAGACTATAGTCTATAGTAGCCGCCAGACCACACCGATTGTCACAAAAGCTCGTTTACTCCCATGGCGAAGAGGGATGCAAAACAGGCTCCCAAGACGGCCCCAAAGTTCCAACACCACCATTTTTGACACCTCACTTGCTGTCGTACGTCGTGTACAACAGCAGACCAGCAGGACTATAGCTACAGCAGCCAGTGTGGTCGGAGTTTCTAAAATCGGATTTCAGGGGGGGGGGGGGGTATCTTACAGATAAAACTATTATCCGACGGCGGGTGTCTCTTCCTTGACGGATTGTACGTGTGTTACCCTATGCTCCGACGCCCAGCGAAGCTGCTGTGCCACAAGGCGAACCGAGAAACCTAGAAGAGCTTTCCGACNGGGGGGGGGGGGTGGTATCTTACAGATAAAACTATTATCCGACGGCGGGTGTCTCTTCCTTGACGGATTGTACGTGTGTTACCCTATGCTCCGACGCCCAGCGAAGCTGCTGTGCCACAAGGCGAACCGAGAAACCTAGAAGAGCTTTCCGACGGACAAGTCAAGAGCTCTCGTCCGCCTGTCCGCCTGTCTCTCGCTCTCTCCTCTGCCTTCCTCCCCAAGGACAACCAGCCACGAAGCCGGGTGTGCGCATCTCAAGATGAGGTGCTTGAGCGCCGTCGCCGCCCTCCTCTTGGCATGCGTTGCACCCGAAGCGACAAGCCACTCTGGTCACGATTACGACGAGTCAAGCCACGCGGAGGACGGGCACTTTGAGGTGTCCGCGGTGTACGATGTGGAGCCGGGCACCAACTCCTTCATTGCCATCCCCGCGGAGGGAAGATTCGAGCAAGATACTTTGGCGTTCATGGTTGTGCTGGCAGCTTCGGCCGATACGGAGGGGTTGGCGGGAGCTGAGGAGGACGCTGAGGCTGGTACGCTCAGCACGACTCGTCGAGTCCTAGAGAAATCTAATACCAGCCTATGCGAGAACGAAACCCGTTCGAGAGTAAACCCCGGTCGAAGGGATGGTCCTTTGGTTGAAATACACATAGTCTATCTGTATAAAACACTTGTTCGCAGATCCGACAGGCACGGATGTGCGCATGGGGTGTGTCTGGGGACTTGAGGTTGTCTGTGCAAGCTAGAAAAATGATGCCTGCTCGTTGTTGTGTTGTATGTTTGCGCCTTGCCTTCTGTACCACAAACCTGTCGATCTTGGGCACCATCAAAACTGTGTACCCTCGTTGTGTTTCGATCGGGGCTGCTGCTTTGCTGGCTGGTTTGAAAACGCCCAAGTTTGCTCCTGCGAGACCGCGGGCCTTGAAGCCTCCCGTCATCACCCCAATAAATTCAAAGCGACCTGTAGATATTGACATATTAATACATACATAGTCTAGTTGGCTACACTTTCTTCACACGAGCTCATTAGCTGGATCTCGCTCCGAAAGACTCGATACGAGACATCATGAACTGAGTGCGTCTGCTTCGTTCTACGGGTAGACTATGTATCATGGAACCCGCCGTGAAGCTTAAACAGTTCAGTGTAGGTGCTATCCACGGCCCGTGGGGGAAAACAACAAATGACGATATCTCGCATCTCCCCCACCACCTGGATGTTGCCTTAAAAGACTCGAACTTGTCAGGCAAGATTGAGGAGTGTGTATCTGATGCACACACAGGATACAAGAGCAGTGTGCAGCAGCTGAGGGCAACAAGCAATGATCCCTCCGCACAGCCCGAAACACGCGACATGGAAACCGAACACTGCCTTCTTGTGTCCACTCACATATGCATTTCTGCGTGCAACAACAAACTCGACATGTAGTCAACATATTCTACGACCTGCAGCGGATCCAATATGCATGAGGCCGCTTTGCAAAACAATGCCGTGCTCCTTTAAAAGTAATTTTCTCAACGTTTGGTATTGAATCGTGGTCCTGGTTCCCTATTATCGTAGTCGCCCCCTGTAAGTACATTGCATCAAAGTATGGTACAACATTATTGTTCGTATAGGAGAGAAGGCAGTGTTCGGATTCCAGTTCACGTGGTTGGGGCAGCTTGGAGGAGTTATTGGACTTGGCCCCCTCAGCTGCTACCCGCTCCTGTGTGTCTACCCCACCGGTGTAGTCGAAGAAAGTTCCCCACGTTCGCCGGTGTCAAGCGTAAAGCGATTAAGTGTACGTTGCGCAAGATATCAAACCCCCTGGACCGATGTTCAAACTCGATTACTGGGCAGGAGAAACGTGACGGTGCCAGAAATGGCGGCGTTGGAAGTTTCTTGTCGAGAGCCTTTCTAAACGTTGTCGTTCGATCTTGAAATCCTCTTCGTCGTGGAACAACAGAGGTGTGAATTTCGGTCCGGCAGGTGTGGTATCTTATGCAACCTACAGTAGTACGTGGGCTATATACAGCAGTGAAAGGGAAGGGAATGCTGAATCCTTCCCGCGTTTGAAAACGAAGACATGCGTCGCAGGGAAAAGGGCTCTAAAAGAATAGCCCCTTTGTTTGTTCACTCTTAGAAGACCCTAGGCGGTTACGTTGAAAATGTAACGAAAGGTGGAGAAGGCCACCTGAACAATGGGACGAAAACATACACACACAGCCGATCTAGATCTAAGCGGTAGTGGAGGCAAATGGCGGAGTAAATGAAGGTCGTATTTCTGCAATCACGCCCTACTGCAGTACCTATCGAATACCCAAACCAACAACGTCCATGGTCTTTGTCTGTCTCTGTCTCTGTCTCTGTTTCTCTCTCCAACGCCACAACACATGAGCAGGAGCCAAACGTACGTCGTCCTCTGTCAGCGTAGGAAAACAGCGACAGCAACGCGTTGTACCGTTTCTGGGGATTACTAGCATGCCACCCCCGGGTCTCCCAGAAATATGCCTGCAATCCCCTGTTCACCGTTGCATCCCAATTTTTTTTCCATAGCCCGAGATATGTACGCACAACGAACGTGCTGGTCGGTCTTGATGAGTAAAACGTCGATGCCACGGTGGACGGATTCGCGGGCGAATGCAGTGCGGCGGCGTCGCCGGCCGTTTCGCCGAGGGATATCAGCCCCAGTTCACGCAACAGTTAGACCTCGAGATTAGAAGTTTTTCAGGGCGAAAAAATGTCCTCGGTCGCTAGCCGAATAGACTTTTGAAAATATTTTCCAACCAATCAAAACAGCAGGACAGGCGGACACGTCACAATATTTTGGACAAGCCCGAGACTTCTTTGTCACCACATGCACGAGCTGGGTACAGCTCACTCTCTCTACCGCAACAGCTAGGATCGGAATGCGGTTTGTTGCGGTGTGTGCGCAAAACCCAAAGGAAGCGATCCCCCGGTTCAGTTTTCAGCTCGCGCATCCGCTCCTCTTCGTTTTCCAGCATCCGCGCTTGCTTCTTCGCTTCTTCCTCTGCCGATTTTTGCTTTGCGGCAAGCTTGCGCTTCACCGAAGCCGCCTGTTTCAGCTTGTTGACGTGAGCGACACATATTCGCTTCAAGGCAGGGTAGTCCTTGTCCTCGAGAGCCTTCAAGCGGCGCGCATCAACTCCCGCTTGGGAAAACGTGCTACCAGCTCGCGCCATAACGTTTTCGCCCTGTTCCTTGAAGCTTTTCTTCTCCCCTTTGTCCATTTCTTTGNAACTCAACGGGAAAAAAACGAGAAACCTGGCCAATGGCCTTTAAAATCCAGTATAAAACGTATGTTCTCAGTCTTCCGGGGTGCGGACAAAAAATCCAAACCGGGTGATTCATAGAGTATGATCTGTAGACAGGTGTTGTAAAGGTTGAAGCGCTAACTCTCCACCTGGGGCCAGCACCTTTGATTGTTAAATCCCGGTCTCAATCCAAGATAATAATATTTCGGCCACCAAGTCAGGAAAGACAAAAAATGTTTTTTGGGCTGGTTGTTACGCCGATATTTGCTGGTCGTTAGCGGTCTAATCTCGAGGTCTAACAGTAGCAAAACAAATTCCTCACGCGCGAAACATGTAATAAGAGAATAGAGATCGTGTAGATTGTTCCTTACGCGCAAGTACCTTCAGAGTCGAGCAACCCACCTCCTGCGGGTGAACATTTTTTTGTTACTTTTCTTGTTGAAAAAGGTGCACTACAACGAGTGTTCTAATCCAACACCCTGCACAGAGTGGCACATGTCCCGTGTGCTTGCAAGCACAAGGCTGAGCTCGAAAGTTGGCGATCCGTAGGTTCTGTGACGTTGGAAATTATTCTCTCGGCCTCTCACAACCGGGAGCCTTCCCATCACCAGCTTTCACGCAGACCAAACCACTCTGTGATAATCCTGAATGTAAACCTCGCCCTTGTCAATCATGGCTTACGTGTGTTCGCGGATATGTGCAGACAGCAGGGAAATAACGGAATGTTTTGTCAATACGCACCCTTTCCCCGGCACAACCAACTGCAGTTGCTTGACTCCCAACTCCACAGAGCTCTTGATTGTGCACCACTTGGCACAGCAACCCGGGTTGACTCCTGCAACTAACACCTGTCTCGAATATCACCCCGTCGTACTCAGTACCCAAGTATCACATATTGGCAATCACCTTCCTCCCCTTCTATCACGCCCGCCCACCGACGATTCCTGGTCCGGTGAGAACCCGGCGTGCTCCACCCCGGCTTTTTAGGGATGCGTGGTCAATGGTCTAACGAATACAGCATGCACGACTATGAGTACACCCCCCCACCGACGCTTTTTGTATCCCTCCAACGCCCCCCGCCAGCATGGGATGCGTACACCAGCGGCGCCGAAGATGCGACCGTCCTAGCGCCCGGTGAACCGGCCACCCCGTCCACCGTCGTGGTCTACCAGGTCGCCCTCGAGGACCCCCTGGTGCTGGTGCAAGTCGAGGTTACCATTGCGGGCGCATACGCCGTCTTCCTGGAGCATGGGGCCGAGGAGGTGGGCATCGTTTTGGCGTCTCCCTCCGGAGTTGTCGTGGTCGCTGCGGCGGAGGAGGGTGGGGATGAGAGCGAGGACGAGGAGGAGAGTGGATCTGCATCGGGAACGCAGTGGGTAAACGGGCTTGTAGCCTCCTTTGTCGTCTCCGTCTGCAGGTTTGTGAAGCATCCTGCCTGACTGTCTACCTGTGAATTGCATCCTCCTTGCCAATGATCATGTTTGAGTGAGCGTGCCCTCGGCGTCATTCGCTTGTCCCCAGGTCTGTATGGCCTCCTTCGACTTGGTTACTTGCGGTACATGCCGCCTCCGTAGCATTCGCAGGAAGCCCAACCCTTACCCTCTGACGCAACCTCAACCCTACCCCTAGCTCTAAGTGTTCCGTACTCAGCGTTCCCTGCTAGAATCATTTAGCGCCGCCCGGCACCGCCGGCGGCGAGGAACCCGACCAACCATACGTGATAGTTTGGAGGTGGTCCCAATATTGGGTATTTTGTTCTTGTGTAGAAGCGTTTGTTCTGAGATGGTAACCACCGTGGTGGCGGGGCTGATGAGATGGGCGTGTGATATTGATATGTATCACAATCGAACAGACGTGGTCCCAACTTAAGTACATGCACGTGGTTTTGCGGGCGTGGTGGTGATCTGTTTTTCATCAGGCTTGTATGCACGCACAATTTGGATTGTTCGCTTACCTCAAACTCGCATGTCGCCAAGACAAGGCAGGCACAATTTGCCAGGAAGAAAGCGGAACGGTTTGTCCTGCGTGACGTTCGTCATCCGCATGTAACACCTACTCTTCCCATTCCCGAATGCCCGCAGCAACCTCTGTGCCTGTAGGTGTAGGTGTAAGTGTAGGTGTAGGTGTAGGTGTAGGTGTGGATGTAGGTGTAGGGATCGACGACAAGTTTCGGTGCTGCTGGGGCGACGATGAACTCGTATGCACCGGAAGCATGGTCTAAAACCTTCACTCCTTCTGATCCCTCCTCGTGAACAAAACCCCGGTTTCACTTCTGCCTCCGGCGGCGCAGCTTCGCGGGGCTCTTGGTGGTCGCCAACAAGCGCGTGGCGTACAGTATTGGCCTCTCGCACGCCTTCATCTTTGCTTCCGGCGCGCTCCTCACGGCCGCCCTGGTGCACATCATCCCCGAAGCGATGGAGGGTCTCGATTCGTCTTACGACAACCTTCACGACCTCGGCCTGTACGCTGGCCTCACTGTCTTAGGCGGGCTGTCCGTCAGCGTCGTCATTCACGGCCTCATGGAGTCGGGCCATTCCCACTCCCCCCATGAAGGCCACTCGCACGGAGGAGGCACGGAAACGGTTAGACCAGGGGGCGGCCATGGGCACCACGCCAGGGTCTCGGATGGTGCCGGCACGACGATGCCACTGGGGATGGCGGAAGGCGACAAGGTGTCGGCGTGGCCGGGGGGGAACTCGCCGCACGCGGTCCAGATCCAGGCGGATGTGACCCAGCCCCCGTCCCCGGCAGAGAGCAGCACCGACAACCTCCGGGCGTTGATCGCCGAGCGAGCAGGGAGGTCGCTGCTGGACGTCAAGGGCTTGCAGCCGGTGTGCTGGAACGTCGTCATCGGCGACCTTGTGCACAACTTTGCGGACGGGTTAACGATAGGGGCGGCTTTTCTCACCTGTAGCGCGACCGTTGGCTGGACCGTCACGGCGTCGGCGGTTCTGCATGAGCTCCCCCACGAGATTGCCGACTTCATGGCGCTTCTCAACGGGGGCATGAGCCTCAAGCAGGTGCGCCATTACGTGTCGGTTTAGTATTGGCACAGGGATGACTCGCTTTGGTGGGGGTGGCCTGCAATATTTCTTTTTTCAATGGCTGACAACAGCGTTGTCAGTGTTTCAGTTTGCCAGCTGGTCTGCGCAAGACCAGTATTGCCGCTGCTGCTGCCGTCGTCGTAGCGCCATGTTTCGAAGTTCCAGCTCTTAATTGCAATGCTGACAGCAGTTAATGCCGACAGAGCAGGTGTCGCCTGTAGCGAATTATGATGAATCCCATCTCACTCGCTAAAAGTCAGTATCTCTCGGCTGCCGCCACCTCGCCCGCCATCGTTATTGTTGTTCGTACAATGGCGCAGGCATTTGCGTACAACTTCCTGTCGGCGCTATCCGCCGTGCTTGGCACGATCATCATCCTTGCGCTGGGGGACACGCTAAGCGATAAGGATGTCTCGATCGTGCTCCTGCTGGGGTCGGGGTCGTTCATCTTTATCGCCCTCTCCGAGCTGCTGCCGGAGGCTCTCGTCGTCACCCACGCCGTCAGCGAGAAGGGCGCGGTCGCCGTGATGTGCTCACAGCTGCTAAAGTTAGGGTCGTTCTTGCTGGGAGCGATCCTGATCGGCATCCCTCTCTTGGTCGACCAGCACTGCGACGCTGCCCACGAAGGGCACGACCACTGAGTGAGCACCCACCATACGCAGGCATGATTCGTTTTCGTCGTTTTCTAGACCCAGGCTTCGGGAAAAAAGTCCGGCTGGGCGGCACAAGGGTTTCGCTTCAAACACCCGCGTTGCTTGACTTGACGGCGGTATTGTCTCGTCCCACAATGCTCTCGACCGGCTTGTTGATAGTCGGACGGTCTTTTTGGCGGTCATGGGGGCACGGAACCGTTTATCACGCCGCGGTAGACGTTGAATGAAACACACAAGCCACATCGCAGACGGTGGTTTTTCATCCGATTTATCTGCCCTGGGCCGCAGGGAGATTTCAGGCCGAGCGAGTCAGGGAGAACAGCTGCCAACACAATCGTGGACGGTGTGTGCCGGATGAAGCACCTGAGCAGCACCGGAAAAGTGCCCGTTAAGTGCCCGTTGGTAATAGGCGAGTACGGGGGTGTATGTGCGTGTAGGGATGTGTGCGACGGTTCCGATGATGTTTGGGTACACCTCTGTTTGACTCTTGGACCGCAAGCGAAAACGTCGGCGGGCACTTCGCGGCAGCCACGGTGCCATTTTTTGCTTTTCTCGGTGCGTCTCGTCGTACTAATCCGTTCTTCCGTTTCCGAACCCTTAGTTGCATTTCCCGCTTCTGCGTGCGACCAGACATGCTATTTATTTTCACTTTCTGGGTGTTCGTGGAAACCATCCGGTGGATCAGGGGCGGAGATAATGCCGCTAGTACGGCACTTTCTTTTACTGCGTGTCTTTTGAGTCCTGGTAAAGGGTTTCTGTCTTGGACGAAAAACAGTGAGAGGTCTTCGAGTATATTTTGCTTGCTTGTTGTCCATGGAGTGGTGAGATTTGCTCATGAGTGCTGGCGCACATGTCTGCCAAGCGATTCGATCAAACGCCATGTTGTTACACGTCGTACTGCCGTTGGTGCCTCGGTACGTTTCTTTCGTTTTGCAGTCGACCGGATCACACGCACACCTTTTTCCACCTGACTGTCTCGAAAAGTGGGCGCAGTGGGCGCCATTTGACGCCTTCCAGCCGAAGTGATTCATTTCACTCCCATGAAGGGGGGGTCTGCGTGATTATGACGTTTTGTAATATTTGTAATTTATTGTGACTGCGGATATACGGAGTTCGAGCCCTCTTGTGTTGGTGAACGGTGCGAAGTTGGTATTTTTTGGCATTCTTTGTTGCGTGCTTGATTGATATTCTATAGGTGAAGTAGGTTGTCCAAATCTTCCCCTTTGGGTCGCAATGCTGCGATTGGATGCATAATTAGTGCAATCCTTGCTGTGGTGAGCCACGTACCCTCGGCAGTGTATGCACATGTACCGGAGTACCAGGTCGGGCGGTTTGGACGTGAGGCGTTCCATCACGCGAACAAACAACACGTGCGGGAAAACAGGGGTGCCTCTTCGTGCACCGTCCGATGCAGTTATTGTGGGAAATTGGGTGCAACTTTCGAGGGCGCACGAGTAGCACCCCGGATATGTTGACGTGATGTACAGACTGTTATTGCTCATCAGTGTTGCCGTTCCCTTGTGGCTTTTTGGGTTCCCCACGGGTTACGTGCGGGCGTTTCGTGCGCCGGACGATATGACGAGGATTAAGTGTATGTATCAAATAGAAGTCTCGGCAACATGGTAGAAAATACATTTACAGAGAGTTCCAATTTGACCTGGGGAGTACGTGATACTGTCTGATGAATCTTGTTATTACCTGTTTGGGCTGGTTGTTGCTGTTATTCTAAGGCATGTGAACTACCCGGTCGCTGTTGAAAGTGTGAGTTGGTTTTCGGAAAGTTTCTCGATTCGGTCGCAATCGGGTCACTGTTGTTGCAGTAACTCGAACAAACGGGGCGGGCGGTTCCGGCTCTTGGTGTGCAAGAACGCACTGCAGTCGTGAAAGCGGTAATCCTTTGAGGCCACGTACAAGAGGAACAATTGAAGCTCTGTTGGCCCACTCATGAGCAACTCTTTTGAGCATGGCTCAAAAGCGATAGGGGGTGCTTCTGACCAAAGACTAAAAACGTCCAAGGTACACCGGATTAGTGTCGTGTAGGCGACGGCTCTCAATTCTCACTCACTCATGTTGTGTGTTGCGTTCTTCCCTGTAACGCGTTTTTTCTAACCTTAGCGCAGCCTTCGTGTGAGTGTGTCTCATGAGCGGGCCGACATTGTATCGGCACGTAATGCAGGTGAAAACGGCCTGCGTGTTTCCCATGTCCCGTTGTGCTTTTAATGCTGTGCAACATTTTCGATGATTGCGAATCGCGATTGAGTGATTTGTAGCACACACCTCCACGGGAGGCAAACACCTCCGGGCGTCGATGAATCTCTAGGTTGCGTCCTGAGGGCGCTGTTCGAGCCGAATACGGCCCGTGCACAACAATTTGTCCAAAATTTTCACGGCACAAATGCCAACTTTTCTCTGCACACAGGTGGTTGTTCCGAAATCCGAAAGTACCGGCAAACGCCCTGTTTCCAGGCGCATCACGTGACGGAGAGTTTTTTTTTCGTTTTTGTTTTTCCTTGACTTTTTATGCTCGAAAAACTGGAAAAAAAATTGTTTTGTTTTTCCTGGCATGTTTTGTTTACCGGTGCCAAAAAACTCAACGGATTCGAACAGATCTCGCAATTTGCCAGAATGTCTTTTTTTTTGTTTCCAAAATATTCAAAATTGACGAAGATACCGCCCAAAAACCTGATATAGAAGACCAACTTGTTTTGTTTTATACGAGATAGCCAACCGACCGATTTTAAAATAGACTGCGGCAAACGTTTCCTCTAGTCAATATCTAGGCTGGTATTTTTGGGCTTTGCTGGGAAAAATCTGGTTCTCGAGAGACAGTGCCGGCCCGCTGATGGCAGTTAAGAATTTGATGCTCAAAAAATCCAAAACTTAAAAATTTACCGATAATAGCAAGTTTGGTGAGGCAGATATAGCCGATGTAGACTACTGTTTAT